CGGGCCCGGGAGAGAGGAACGCCCCTGGGGGGGGGGGGGGGGTTCCTGCCAGAACTTCCATCGATCCCGATGACTGCCTCCTTCTGTCAGATTGTAATCAGAGGGTGCACAAAGTGCCAACTGTACCCCTCCCACACCCCCCTGTCTGTCTAGGTGTCATCTCTACTTTTTTTCCCTGCCCTGGGAGGGCAGATCTGCCTCATCTGTCTCTGGGATGTGCACAGGGTCAGAGCCCATCAGATGGGGCAGCAGGAAGGGGGCTACCGGCAGCTCACACAGAAAAGGTGCCCCTGACCTGTGAGTGTGCAGGAGATAAGCAGATCAAGGAGCACTGACAGAGGTGAGAGCACACGGCCTGTGCCATGGACTGAAGGGCCCTGGTCTGGGGGGTGCACAGGAACACACCGTAATGAAGAGCCATTTTCACAGGGAGGTGACCACACCCCTCTACCTTGGGCTCCTCCCCCTCCCCAGGCTGTCAGTCTGGCTTCCTATATGCGGTTGCATTGTGTCATATTGTCACACTGTGTGAGTGACAGGGAGACTGGAGTGCTTAGAAAGGTAAACACAATTATGCATGTCCTGTTAGCTTCAGGCGGCTCTGTTGCCTAGCAGGAAATCCGGCCCTGAAAGCTATCAGCTTTACACCAAAAGTGATTCAGGCAGCTGTAAACCACCCAATTATCTCCACTGACTGGCAAAGATGCATTTGTATAATGGAATACACAGGGCTTCAGGACTTTAATGGCATGCAGCAGATAGGTGCAGGTATTTCATTTACATTACCAGGGAATGCACTAGTAAACCTAAGTCCCCATATGTCTTCCATCTGAACAGACTTTATTGGTATTGTGAATCTCTATAAAACTGAAGACAGACAGGATATTCTGGTGCCAAGGCTATAAGTGGTGCAAGCATATGAAATGTTGGCACCGTGCTTACATGTCTGTAATGTATGAATAATTACTATCTCTGCCCACCTAAGCTCTAAAGGTATTAACAAACAAGGCATTGTCTATTATAGCATATCTAAATCCAAAAATAAAATAAAAATATATACTGTATTGCAGTTTAGCAGTCCTTAGATGTGCTGGCTGTATTAGTTTTCTTTTTCAGGCTTTTGTTTTAGATTTGTGTTTGGGTGGCATCACTCTATGGAAGAGCAACAGATCCACCTTTGGACAGCAGCATTGTCACCTGTAGAAACGGTAGTGTTAGATGGGCTAGCAGAGTTACATGGACCTGAATAGCAAATTAAAACAGAACTTCAGCTAACACTTTTTAAGCAGTTTACTGCAACAGTTTTTTTTTTCCTTTTGGGATAATGGTTTTACATGAAGCTGATCATTGCAAGCACCCATGCCAGTGTTAAATGGTTTGGCTCAACCCTCTATCCACTTTTGCTGGGTAGCTTGGTCTGTTAAAGGAAGCTGACCAATATCAGACTTACTGGCCGGATCAACAGCTGAAAATAAAGGGAAAAAAAAACTAAAATAAAGAAAAACTAATGTAGAAGCCAAATCTTCTGAGCTACAATATATTGCATTGTTGCTTTTGGGTTTAGACACGCTTTAAATTTATCGTTTAATAAATGTGTAAACTTTTGCCTTGTGTAAACCTTTAGGCAACGTCAGGCCCCTTTCAAATGCTCTCGATACTTTCCTGGTATTTTTTGCAGCAAACACTCCTGATGGCATAATTTTTATGATGTTGAGCTTTTGATGTTTCTTACTCCAAAATCAGATAGATAGGCATTTCTTATAACAATGCATATGCTAGCTCTGATAAATACAGTATTGTAAGTTTCTAAACAAATTGGCAATAACATTTACAAAATGTTGCATTCTTACTGTTATGGACACCCTATTGTACTTTTGCCTGATGTCTTTTTACATCTCTAGTTACAGCAGAATTTCCTTAAAGAACCCCAACTCTAGAGATCTGGCACAAAAAAAGTGTTTTAAGCTAAGCTCTCTATATAATATAGACAATATGAGGATGATGATTTTGCTTAGATAAACTATTTATCTTCTTCTTTCCAGTGAGAGAGTTAGAGAAAAAAAACGTTATGTATATAAAGTCTGCCCTACTAGCCATATAGTATTATTTACAGCTACAAGTTCACAGGATGATACAGGATCTGGCCAATTTAATATAGTTATGTCTAGAGCTTTTAGTCCACTGAATGAATTCTTTCAGAAGAAGCCCTTGATGTTTCAGAAGAGTTGTCTGACGAAGCCTCTGCAAAAATTTACAATGTAGTGAAGAACACCCAGGTAGCATAAGACATTTTTACTGTTAAATCTTGTCTCCAGTAAGCTGCTGGTCATCTGGCTGGGACTACCAAGTAAAGAAACACTTAACCTCTACAATTACTCCATACATCGGGCAAGTAGATTATTATTATTATTATTATACAGGATTTATATAGCGCCAACAGTTTTCACAGCGATTTACAATATAAGGAAGACATTACAATCACAATACAATAAGTCAAGACAAGATGGTAAGGAGGGCCCTGCTTATAAATCTAAAAGAGAGGGACAAGTGATACAAGAGGAGGTAGCTGTGTGGGGATGAATTGTTTGAGAAAGTGATAGTTCAGTGGTTATGTTGCGACAGAATTGGCTTACAAAACTAGCAAGCAATCAGGTTTAAATATATTTTTGGACAAATTAAACAGGAATTCTCATTGGTTGCAAACTTTAATGTTCTCATTTCTTTCTCCTGTTTTATTTTTTTTAATAAGCACCATTGTTATTCTGGAGATTAGTGTAGGATTACATTGTTAAAATTTTAAGAGTAATGTACCAGGGAGAACAAATACAATAAAACGAATCCTTTGGGGGTTTTTTTTGGGCCACTGAGTAAATACTTCTTCCTGCAGTTAACCTATTTTTATTGACATTTATCTCTGATTATAACTTGATATCACTACTACGGCTATAGTCATGAGATTGTGAAAGAGTAATTTTCAATAACTGTATATATGCTATGCACTAAAGTAACTCTTGACATGTTGGAGATACATAATGCTTTTGCACGGCACAAAAATCCAGCATATACGTGTGACAAAAACGAGATTATTACTACACCATAATACATCTACTCTTTATAGAAACTTGTGTTTGCATTCCTGAGATGTGTTCACTTTCTCCACCCTCTCTACTTCCTCTCCTTACATTGCACCACCTTATATGAGCAAACAGAAAGATAGCAATGTTGTGTAGGAAGCATCAAGTGCACATCAGTAGTCTCTCGCTAGAATTGTTTATACATACGTAATGTAACCTGTTCTGTGCTAAGACAGCGTTGGAGGCTGTGTTTTGTCATGAAACTGAAACAGTTAGCTATTAGGTTAAAGAATATGTCTAGACAATTGTTCAGTACAAAATGGGTAATGTTTTTTAGCTAGTAATAATACCCTTCCTAAACCAAATACGCTTCTCCTCTTTAATCTGTGACTGCATGAATAGCGTGGCACCTTTGGTAAAGCCAGAGAAGGACATGCTATATCCTAATGGCTCTACCTGAAACCCCCTCAATGGCAAATACATAGGCTTCAAGAGGTGGCAGAATAGGTCTGGATATGTAACAAATTTGAAGTGGCTAATGTCATAATAAAAGACTAGGCCTAAAATGAGCCTTAACAAACATTATAAAGCCCAGCTTGCACACCTGGAAAATAGATGATCTGAGAATCCAGTCTAATAAAGCAGAGATAACAAGTTACATTTTTTTTTTCAATTTGCCAGAACTCAGGGTTCAAACTGTGTTGGGCTGAAGAGTAAATGTTCACTGCAGATTTTAAATCTGTAGGACAAAATGACCCATTCTTAGAGAAACAGTGAAACAGCCACAATGTTTGGTTGGGAATCTCTGCTCTTCTCTGGTCCATAAACAAGATTCAATGGGATATCTCATTTTTTACAAACAGTGGACACTGTGGATTTTGATGAAATTGTACCTAATCATTAGATAATACCTTTATAGGGTAAGGGAACCCCCTTAACTTTCAAAAAAGCAAATCCTTCTATATATGGCTAACATTACTGTCATTGCATAACTGTAGTGAACACAGACTTCCTCTATTCTCCTGTTCATTTAATAATACTATCAAATTTATGGCATACAAAGCCAAGTATAAATCAAAAAAACCTTTTGTGCTTGCACCCTGTTTCCTTCATTTCATTGATAAATGGATCCATTCGGTGTTCACTTTTTATTCATTTACTTTCAATGTTTTCCACATTATTGAATTTATTTTAAACATTATATTAGTTTTGTGTGACTTACTGGAAATAGCTTGAAAACAGGATATGTGCTGATTTTCCATTTTCCTTTGCTATAGGAGAGCAGTGGCATTTCTATATTCCTCAGATACTGGGAGAAGATGATGATTAAAGCAATAGTTCTGGAAAGAAAAAAGTTTGCATTTTTATTTCCCTTTTATCTAGGTTTCCCACAATCTCTAAGTGAAGTTATATAAGAAAATATGTTTCTATTGCCTAAACTATTCAAACACAATAACATTTTGACATTTACCAATAATTGGCAATGGCTGTGTAATAGAAAGATCAATTCACAATAATAATTTATAGGTAACTATAAGGACTCATGCACACGGGTGCAAATAAAGGGACTTAGAGGCATACAGCATCAAATACACGTATTTGTGGTGCTGGGAGCCCAAGCAGCTGCATCTTTTATCCATAGGAATCTATGGACAGAAAAAGCTGTATACGGGTATACAGAGTAGATGTCGATACCTGAAGTTTATCATTTCGGAATGTCCATGTGCTGGTACCGGTGTTTACATGCATATACCCACGCAAAGCGTTTTCTGTCCATACATTCCTATGAACAGAAAAAGCACAGCAGCTGGGGCTCCTGGGTGCCGCAAATACAGACATATTTTATGCTGTATGCCTATATACCAGTACTTTGTGAAATAGGTCACAAACTAGGAGACACAAAGCATGCTTTACTCTGCAGCACTATTAATTTGGTAGCTGAGCTGTGGAAACATTATGGGGTCTATTTTCCCTGTGAATCTCTGTGTACGTTTATGCTGTGTGAATGGAGGCAAAAACAAACGTCCTTAGTATATTTTCTTTTCAGATCGATTGTAATATTGGAAAAATACCACCATATGGCCACTAGATGGAGTTGAGGAGCATTGAAAATAAATACTTATACTAATAATAATATTAATCATAAATACCATTATGCTGTCTTTACTGTCCTGTTCCAGTGCTTCAGCATAATGCATTAATGCAAAATCATTCTGGACCTCAGCTACAACATTTTTATTTTTTTCTGCAAGGTCAATCCTACCTGTTCTGGTGAACAGGCACCGTAAAGCTGCCACAAATAGGGGTCTATTTATAAACAATTCATAGATCTATTCGCCCTTTGTGATCTTTCTCAAATGGAGGCAAACACAAACATTCTTAGTATATTTTCTTTTTAGGTTGAATGTAATATTTGGAGAATAAATAATAAAGAAAATAAATGCTTATTTCCTATGCTCCTTAGCGCAATCTTGTGGCCATAATGCGGTATTTTTCAAATGTAACATTTGACCTGAAAAGAAAATGCAGCTCCATACACATAGCTGCGTATGGAGCTGTATATTTGCGTAGCGTAAAAATGCTCAAAAACAGAAGGACCGAGATGCGTCCGGGTCGCGTATTTCTGTGTATTTACGTGCATATATGCGTGTTTGCGCGCATATACGCACGCACGTGCGTACAGTTCATTAACATTTCTATTACGAATGATGCATTGTGGGATTGCAAATAGTGCACGCATATACGTACATACGCACTCTTATACGCGCATTTGCGCGTATATACGCAATATACAATGTTGCTCTTGCGTTGTGTGTGAATGAGGCCTAAAACACTAAACTCCAAACCCTCTTTTGTTCTTTGTGTTTTTTTAAACATAATAAAAAATATGAAAATGTGAAATAAAAGTAAAAAATAAAACCCCAATAAGAAAAAACTGCAAAGGAGAGGTCCCGCAGTTCACAAGGAACTGAAAATGCTGCTGACAGGCACAAAAAGGTAGTCCTATGGAGAGTGAACACAGAAGTTGCTACACAATAATATGGAACCCTAACACACTGCAATTCACAGTTATAAATCACAGTATAGAAGAGTGAGAACAGGTGGGGGGTACAGAATATGTAGCCTACCACACTGCAATTGATTGCAATAATGTAGCACAATACAGTGCAGTACTTTTATACTGTATACTTTGATACTAGTGGTTTACACCACTGTATAACTATCTCTCTTGCAAACAGAACTCTGTTAGCTGTTCCTATCTAATCCAAGTCTCCACACACAATGGAAAAGTCTGCTGTGAACCCTGACTTTTATAGGAAGTGGACTAGTAGATAGGAAAACCCCCACTATTGGCTCTTCTAATACACCTGACCTCAATTTAATGGCTAGCAAGTGCATGATTAGTAATTAGTTGCAAGTCATTAGTATGACTTGGAGTCATACTCATAGTTGACCCAAACCCAAAGCTCATCACTAGTCACATTTGTGATGTTCGTAATCCTTCTCAGTGTATCGCTAAGTTGTTGCTTTTAATTAACAGGATAGGTCAGGCCTTTCCTCAGATAGGAATCCAAGTCTTTTTTTTCTGCAGGCAAAGACAAATATGTATAAAAAAAAGAATATTATCCTTAGGTTTTAGGGGGTGTTAATAGAAAGGATAAAATGTTGCTTATTAAACTATAAAAAAACGTAAGACTAAGCTCATATAGTAATGTAATAAAAGAACTTGTCTGTGAGCAAGATGTGAGAATAAAAAACAGAATATACAGTATTTCCTTTTTACTCCCTCTTACTATTCTATCTGGTCTTAATTTTGGCACTGCAGTGCTCCTTCCTGGAGATTCCAGCTCAATAGCATAAACAGCTGTTTCATCCATTTTATTCTCAGAACCTCCGCTTTTACAGTGCCTCCTGCTTGGGTTCCTGCAATATTTGGAAACTGTTTGCATGATGCAATCATATTTCCCAGATATCGTGTACAGCGGAGTATATACTTAACACTGGAACCTGTAGAGCTAGGTTCAACTGATAAAATGGCTAACAAGTAACTTAAGTAATAGTTAAATAAATGTCCTGGGACACTGGTAAGCTACGCCTAGGTGTGAACCCAGCCTAAGGCTTTGCACACCTATTGTATAGATGCACTTGAAATATATTTTACTAATCTAAAGCCAAAACATGTTTCCATTTTAGATAGTGTAGGGAATGGTAAAAACTTTTTTTACCATCTGTGTCCTGTTAAAGAGATTTCCTTTTACTTTCTTGCCTGTAGAGACAACAGAAAGTGAGAGCAAATCTTTCCAAACTAAGTAAATCCCTCTTAGATCATCTGTGTTCCTGACCCTGGCTTTGTTCCTGACTCTGCTTTTCATCTTCCGTTCCAGTACTACATTGTCTGCATGGCTCCGACCCTGGCTTGTCTCTCAACTATGATTCTGTCTGATGTCTGCTGCCTCATCGCCCATTCAGTTTTGACTCGGCTTGCACCTGTCCTCGATCCTTCCTACACTGCATTCCAGACGTGAATCTCCTGCGTTGCTTTCATCCTGAAGATTGTTATCAGGACCAGCACTTCAGCCTGCAGTCTTCCAGCACTCATGCCCCTGTGTGCCCTGCCTCTCCTATTCTGCTATTCAGGGGTTTTGGGCCTGGAGTTGGAAGAGAGGCCTCCTTAGTCACTTCAGGCTCTGAAAGGTACGTGACTGAGGTTGCATCTCTTAGTTCCGCAAACTGCAATAAAAACTAACAGGAGTTTTATCCCTTCCCCATTTTCTTTCACAAATGTTTTGTAACTTTTGGTACACTATAAACTAAATGTTCAGTTGGGCTTTAAAGTGTATGTTTTTTATTTTGTATAGTAGAGGGATTACAACCCTCTGTCAGGTTTTACTGCTATCCGGGTCTCTGTTAGAATATTTCTCCTCACTTCCTGTACCAGTGACAATAGCTTCACAAAACAGAAAGAGAGAAAAAACCTACAACTTAAACACAGACAGCAATCAAAAGATGACAAGGGTTCTAACCTTCCCCTCCTTATATCTGTTTGTGTTGGAGTTTCTACCTCCCTTCCTGTTTGGTGAAATTGTTGTTCCCAGGACAGGAAGTAAGGGGAAATCTCCCTAATGAACCACTGGATAACAATAAATATCAACCAGGGGTTTCTAATGCTTCCCCATTCTATCCAAAACTAAAATTAAGCTTTAGCTGGACATGCTGGACAGCAGCTTGCAAAATATTATGGAATTGAAGGTATTATTAGCGGCTCACATTGTTGTGCTTTAATAGTGATGGGCCAAAAGGGAAGTAAATATTAATATGAATAACTAAACAGCTCTGAATGGAAATGTATAGACAAAAATGTCTATTCTGACAATACCTGGCCTCCAAAAGGGAAAGTGAATACATTACGCAGGCAACAAATGAGCAATCATGACACTATGTGGGAAAGAAAGTGGGTAGTCATAACAATATGCAGGCAATCATGGCAATTCATGGGCAGCAAATGTTTAAACGTGACAATGTTGAGAACAGGTGGTGGTGTGCATGTTTAGCAGTGGCTGCAGCAGCACCCCCTACGTTGTAGTACCCGCTGTGCAGAGGCTGACTGATGAGGGGGGCAAGTACAGCCCAAAAGCCCATAGTGCAGTGGCCCCCTGTCCCACTCTCCCCATTCTCCTGCCTTCTCTGCGCCCCCACCTGCCACTTTCCCCATCCATGTAAGGGTAGTGTGAACAGTCAGGTGATGTGAGGACCGTGAAGTCCATAAAAGGGGTGGCTGGCCGGAGGATGGCGCTCTCCTCCTGCTTGGCTCCCCTCACAGTTCTGGCCTTACTCCATTCCATGTCCAGTACTTAGGCACTCTCACCTTCTGTATCCCACCACTGGCTGTTTGGACTTCAACGATGTGAGCTGTGGGAGGAGAGTGAGAGGAGCCAGACCGTGTCAAAGCCGGTGTTTTATAATTTTTCTTGACCCCATAAAATTTCTCGACAGTCACCCGAATCAGCTGTTTTCCTGATGTTCTTTATTCATGCGCATGTGCACCAGGAAGAGATGTAGTCGAGAAATTTTATGGGTTAACAAGCACCTTGTCCCCATGCCGATGGGGACAACGGCCTCTTCGTCCTCAAGCCCTGACCTGTTGGTTGTGGGGGTCTGCGGGCAAGGGGGCTTATTTGCATCAGGGTATTCCCTTTAACATTGGGGGCACCCAGATGCTGCCCCCCCTTTGGGATGAGTAAGGGGTACTTGTACTCCTACTCAGTCACTAAAGGGTTTCATTCAAATGTAAATAAAAAAGACCAGACTTTAAGAAAAAATCCTTTTGTTGAAAAAAAACATGCTCCAAAAATGTTTTTTAAATCCCCAAAATTGATCCACCGACATAATCCTAAGGTCTTTCATGACATCCAGCTTTGTCCACGACGACTCGTTGAAATGTTAAAATACCCGTCGGCGGACGCCGACCCGTCCACATCCGACGAACTGCCGCTGCAGAATGACCTATTTGGCAGGAGTCGGCAAAAAGTAAACAAATGGGCGGAACTAGCGGTGACATCACCATCTCATATTTGTTTGGATTTGGCCAGCATCTGTCATATAGGTCTTCTGAGGCTCCTGCCAAATCAAAACAAGTGACCTGAGGACAGTAGCCTGTCATTGCATAACAAATAGGTGGAGCCAGCCGTGATGTCACCACTAGCTCCACCAATTTATTTGCGTTCGGCTCGGCTGAGCCATTCGGCTGCCGTTGGCTGCTGTATGGGCTATTGTGAATGGCTCCGGCGGCCAAAGTGAGCAGATGGATTATCCGATGCTTCCGCTTAATCCTTCGGCTCCTTTGTGAATAACTCATTTAATGTCACTTTTATGCAACACATTTTCATTCCTAATGATCATTTAACTCATCTGAAATTAACGAAAATTCGGATTCATCCGAACCCGAATGCCGAAATGAATTGACTTTCAGACCCGAATCCCAAAAAACTAACTAAAATAAATAAACATCTGAAATTAACCAGTTGCCGTCCGCCCGTAGTAGAAAAACGGACGGACGGCACTACATTTTTTGCTGCCTTACATGTCTAGCTAGTACTCTGTCAGCATGCTTTTTAGGGCCCCTCATCCACACCCAGTCTTGCTCCGCTACCCTTCTGCTTCTTCTATGAGAAGTTTGTAATGGAGAGGTCAGTAGTAGCACACATGGAGAGGAATTTATCAAGACTGGCGGAGACAGAATCTAGAGCAGTTGCTTAAGGCAACCAATCATCTTTCAGGCCAGGTTCACACTAGAGCTGCAACAGTTAATCGATTTAGTCGATTAAAATCGGCGATTGAAAACGTTGGCAACGTTTTCGATCGTCGATTCGTCGGCTATCGATTGATTTGCCTGTTCGGGGCTGTTCCGGGCTACAGGTAAGAGTTACGCTACGCACGCCGCGGACGCCACGTATGCCATGCCCACCACACAAGCCGGACACACGCCCGCAGAGCACGCCGCCGCGACTTACAAGGGTTCAGAAACAGGTAAGGGGGACCTGTTTTAATGTTTCCTGTTTAAAAAAAAAAAAGCGGCACACTGTAGAACACCACCAGCTATAGAGGAACAACAAATCCCAGCAATAATATATTAAACACCCGGTATAATGTATTATTGCTGGGACTTGTTGTTCCTCTATAGCTGGTGGTATTCTCCATTGCGCTGTATAATGTATTTTTGCTGGGATTTGTTCCTCTATAACTGGTCAGTGGTAATCTGCATTGCGCAGTATAAATCATTATACAGCGCAATGGAGAATACCACCAGCTATAGAGGACTACAAATCCCAGCAATAATACATTATATACAGCACAATGCAGAATAACGCCAGCTACAGAGGACTACAAATCCCAGCAATAGTACATTATAGTATAATGTACTATTGCTACATTCCTCTATAGCTGCTGGTATTCTGCACTGCGCCGCTGTATGATGTACTATATTGCACACCACACTTTTTTTTTACTTCCACCGCGCCAAGCTTGCTCCCATGATGGACTACAATCTTAACACAAACTAGTCGTCAATCACTGGAGCCTTTTTTTTTTATCCGATTAACCGATTAATCGAACTTAATAATCGGCCAACTAATCGATTATGAAAATAATCGTTAGCTGCAGCCCTAGTTCACACCTTTTTCTGGACTAGATCTGGAACGCAGTGCATTGCATTTTGCCACTTTTTTTAGCTTAAAATGGGCTTACAGGTGCAGTCCAATGTGTTTGCATGCAATTGTATGCATTTTTGATGTGTTTCCATGCCTTCCAGACCAGAGAAAATGAGACAAGCAGTATTCTTCTTGTCTGGACTGGAACGGACTGCGCTGGTGTGAACAGAGCCCAGAAATACCGTAGGGATACATTGGGATTTTTTTGGGTCCAGGAACAAACTGTTCTGGTCTGGACATGATCCAGACATGGTGTGAACAAGCCCTAAAAGCTTAATTAAACAAACTGAAGATTGGTTGCTATAAGCAACTTCTCCAGATTCTGCCTGCTCCAGCTTTCGTAAATCCCCCTATAGTACGTAATGTAAATTGCAGAGGTCAGTCTTAAGTAACATAGAGTGCAGAGGTCAGTGGTGTAATGCAGAGTGAAGAGGTCAGTTGTGTCAGTTGTGTAACGCAGAGGTCAGTGGTGTAACGCAGAGTGCAGAGGTCAGTGGTGTAATGCAGAGTGCAGAGGTCAGTAGTAACGCAGAGTGCAGTGGTGTAACGCAGAGTGCAGAGATCAGTTGTATAATGCAGAGTGCAGAGGTCAATGCTGTAATGCAGAGTGCAGAGGTCAATGCTGTAATGCAGAGTGCAGAGGTCAATGCTGTAATGCAGAGTGCAGAGGTCAGTGCTGTAATGCAGAGTGCAGAGGTCAGTGGTGTCCCTATTTGTTCTGGTGACCCCTGTCACCAGGATTAATAGTGAAGGATCTCTAAATTTGTGAGTTGTTACTAGGGCAGGAATTGAGGGGAAAACCTCCAATGGGTACACTCGTTCAGATGACAATTGTCAAAGGAGGCATTTCTCTCACTTTGGAGACTTTTATATTTCCTTTCTGTTGTGTCTATAGGACAGGTAGAAGGGAAAGTAACCGAATGGGTCACAGATGGCAAAGAAAATCATGACGTGGATTTTAACCATTCCTGACTGAAAATTGACTTTGATATACTTTAATAAATTATGAGGAATTAATTGAATGTGCTAATAGATTTTATGCATTACATCAGTACTGAAAGGCAAAAGAGTTAAATCATATAATATGTGACCACAATGAGCTAAGTAAATATGTTTACAGAGTAAAAGTTAAAACTGACCTATACTGACATTAATATGCACCTATCCTGCCAAATCGAATCTATTAAACCAATAAATGACAATACAATGTCTGAAATACTTGTCTTTTCTAAACACATGGGTGCTCCATGATCCTTCTGTTGCCAGCTGTGTGACCAAATCTCACAGCATTGGTAATGCTTGAGCTCTCATCCTCCTGTTCAGTATAGATCACATAACCAGTGCTCCAGCATTTGGTCATCTTAATGGTACCATTAGCATGGTACTGGTACCTTGTACTAGTAGCATGGAGTAGAAATAACTTATATGCTGGTTAAGCACAAGATAGATAGATAGATAGATAGATAGATAGATAGATTCATAGATTTTGAACAATATCTGCAACACATACCCTGTACTTAATACATTACCTCTTTAATTTCAGTAATTACTTACAATGCAGCAATGCCCCAGTGTGCACCACATTTTTTTCCTGCTTCCTCAAACAAAGAAAGCCCTATAAGTGTTATGGTTGGTGTAATAGATAAGGGTCCAATAAACTTCAGTAAGAGTCCGATCAGTCCTGTAAATCCCAGCAACAATTGCAAGATAGAAGCCACAATAATTGCACCTTGAATCTAAAAAACAAAGAGAAATCGCTTTGTGTTTTTACAATGTATACCTTAAGCTGAACACAGTATATTTTCACATTTTGAGTTCAACCATATAATTACATATGACAAACAGTATCTTTCTGACAGCAACAGCAGGAGAAGAATTATACTGTAACCATGTATTTTATGTTCCTGTTCCGTATGATTATTCTGTAGCTAGCATGGTATTAAATATCAAGCGGCAAAATCAAACGTATCTTCATGTTTATCTTCTAATTTACAAAATACTGCTTTGCAAACTGATATCAGGACCCTATTTCCTGAACTAGCACGAGAAATTCTGCAGTATACTCAGAATTTAAGATGTGATTTTCTGCTAAAGATTAGCTAAAAACAAATCTGAAATGGTTCTATCATATGCTCAAATGGGAAAAGAACTCAAAATTCTTGTTTTTTTCTCTAATAGTCTAAACTGTTATGTGGACATGTAAATGGTTTTGCTTCTGTGTTACACAGGACAAACGTCAACATAGTCTTGATATGAAATAATACTCCACTTAATGCTTTGTACCAGTATCATGGAACACAAACCCTAAGGAATGCAAATGTAAAGTCTTGGTTTGTCTACATGTCTACCATAAGGTCAAAGGGTTAGAAAAGCACGTCTGTTATGACTTATACTGTCTTCTCTTTTGCTGACTTGTTATGCTGTCTTATCAGGAAACTGTGTTCAGATAGTCTACAAAATGCTGGGTCATTGTATTATATATTTGCCTTAAACACTGTGGAGATGTTTAGGCTGTTTTGTACTGCCACACTCCTACCCAAGTGACTGGTCAGCCTTTAAATTCCATGAACAAGAGCAGACATCATAGCCACACATAAAATGCTAAAAGAGAGTGTTTACTCCTTCTCTATCAGTCCACCAAGAACTGGCGACAAGAATAGCAGGCAAACGGTCATTCTCCTGTAGAAGTGTGGTTCTAGAAGTATTGAACTAGAGTGGGTAGTGTAAGTGTAATGTAAGTACACTTTTCCACCAACAAACATATACACGCTGCCCAGGGGGAGAAACAATTGGGACCTAGCTGGACTGAAATGGCAATCAGAATAGCCGTATGGCACATTTTATTATATATTGTAATGTGTTACTGACAGTTGGGTCTGTGCAGCCTTATCAACCTAGGCCATAGTTTATTTTGGCTATACAAAAATCCAGGCTCTGTAGCAGGTTCATTTATCCACCTATATCTTGAGGGGGTAATGAGAAATGGTCATGCATAACAGTGATGAAGCAACTCTCAAAATATTACATCTTGTATCTCACCCAGATTTTCACAGGTGCTGCTGCATCTTTTGCAGAAAAAAGGGATAACCCCAAAGCTAAGAGCAAAATCACTGCACACTGTCACCCACATTTACTGTACCTGTCTAGGCCCATTGTAAAAAAAAAAGTTAGGTCTAGTCTCCCTGATTAAAACTGTCCTACTTTTGGGCACTTTTACACTGCTATACTTTCTGCAGTATCTTAAAGCAGAACTCTGGGGGAAATTATTGTTAACCCTTGCAGTGGGGCTACCCACACAATGCAAGGAATTAGTGCTCATTTTGGTCTAGGGAGGAAAATAACAAAGCTATACTCACCCCATGCTGAGAGCCGGCCAGCTGTGACAGCACTTTCCTCTTACACTGCAGCAATGGCATGTTTTTAGGCATGTATATATATATACGTCCACTCGTCACAGACGAGTGGACGAGTGCATTTTTCGAGCCCTGTATATATATATATAGAAAGTGATGATTTATGGGAACTTAGATCACTGCAGCAGAGGGGGATTGGTCCAGGAGTTCTTTACGGGATAATTGCACTTTAAAACAAAGGCTGAAGCCGGAGAGGGAGAAGCTAACCACTGGATGTCGACAAACAGAGAAGATGCATACTTCCGTTGGAGCACGGAACTATGCATCTCTGCAGGGGGTAGGGATCTGTGAAGTAATCTTAAACAGACCAAAAGCATAAATGCACTTTGTTTTAAAGTGCACTTTTGCTTTAATTCTTGTAGTAAAGCCCTATTCTGTGCTTTTTGTCTCTTTGGGCCTAGACTTGCTAATTACAGTTGTCTTCTTGCTGCTGGCCAATTTTACACTGCAATGTCATCTACAATCTCTTAATTTTTGACTGTGCTCTTTTTCTCTATTGGGGGCAATATTTCCCCATGTCCTGCTGCTGGCCAATTTTACACAGCTGTAATATCTGCAGCTTCTCAATTCTTAATGAGAGTTTTTTAGCAATTAGCCAGCGAGTGCAGGGACAGTCTCCCCGAACTATGTGCCAATTTCTATCTACTGGTCAAAGCTGGCCCTTCTGATCACACCAGTCCCCATAGCAGCAGAATTTTATATCACTAATGGGACTCCTCTAGTAATGCATATTAATAGTGTAAAAAAATACAAGGTTAAATTCCAGAATCAGGTGATGTTTAAAAATTAGAGTAACAATACACATTTATAAAAAATAAAAAAAACACAGGAAAAAAAAGTGGCGTGGGATTCCCCTTACTCCAACCAGACTATAATCCAGGAATCCAGCAAGTCACAACCCTTCTTGTACTAGACCAGGCCAGATAACTTTCAAGATTTGGTGGGTACATTGACAGGGGCAATAAAAAGCCTCTTCCCTTTGCAAAGCACTCCTGTCCCAGTCATGAGGGAGAAGAGCACCTTCACTACCTCTGGTCCCCCAAGAAGAAGGTGGGAGTTAAATAACGGGATCTGAAAGCCACCTTTGTAACAAGGGGTATCCAGATAGCCACCCACTTCTGGGGGAATGAGTACAGGGGTAAAATAGTACCCTATGCCCATTGCTACAAAAAAAGTTAAATGTAAATAAACACACACACATACTGTACCTTCATAGTATTTGAGGTTGAATAAAGACATTAGTCCATCAAGTCCAACCTATTAGGATCTCATTCTAGGAGTACCCGTACCCCTGTATATTACGGTCCCTTAAGAAATCGTCCAAAAGTTTCTTGAACAATTCCACATTATTTGCTGAAATCACCGCCTGTGGCAGTGAGTTCCAGACCCTAACTGATCTTACTGTGAAGAACCCCTTTCGCCCCTTGTGCTTGAATTTTTTTTCCACCAATTTTAGGTGATGGCCTCTAGTTTTTGTAACGGAGTTAATTTTAAACAGTTTATCGCTAATGTTGCTACCACCATTAAACATTTTGTACATGGAAATCATATCCCCCCTTATAATCTCCTCACCTCTAATGTGAACATGTTTAAATTTAGTAGCCTCGTCTCGTAGCTCTGGTCCTCCATACCCTAATTAGTTTGGTTGCCCTTCGCTGGACTTTTTCCAACTCAAGGACATCTTTTCTTAGTACTGGTGACCAGAACTGGACCACCTTCAAGTCCTTTATTTAAAACAAAACACAAACATATAAAAAATTCATTTTATTATTGTCCCTCAAAGTAATCCCAATGCAGTCACATTAATCATGTTGTCATAACATTACTTTAAGGAGCATTAATAAAAATTTATTCCAGAGGATCCCTGAGTGACATAATTGTGCAAAAAAGGTAATTTTTTGATACTTCATGATGTCTCCAGGGATTCCCTGGATTTCACAGGCTTAGATAATATTTAAAATTGAAACAATTTTTGAAAATAATGGAGTGGGGTTCCTCCTAATATTTTAACCAGGACCATGTCCAGACATGCAGTCTGGGTGACCAAAGAAGGAAGGGCAGGAAACACGCATCACCCTCTCCTCCCTGTGCCAGACCAGGACACATGCTTTCAAGGAGATTGGGGAAAAATATGTTTCTTAAATTCTTCATCTGGTGATGCAGGGGGCAGGAAGTTCTTCTGTCTGCTAAGTTTGTGCTGCTATTGTGCACTTTTCTCCCCAAAATATTTAAGTGCTTTATCAAGTCTTGCTTCTAATTTTGTAACAATCAAATAAATTATTTGTATTTTTAAATGGTTTTCATTAAATGTAACCCTCTTAGCATTCCCGTGGATACATTGAAGATTTCAAAGCTGGGTATATATTAATACATAATTGGATTTTTTAGATGTATTTTTTTTTTAGCAGATAGTCTTTATTAAAGTTTTAACAATACATGACAAGAAGGTAAATCAGCCTGTCCCTGTCGGGGTACAGACGTAAGCTTACAAAATACATATTTAACATTACCTTACAAAAAAAAAAAATTGTGTGATTGGCGCAAGCAGTGGTCACAGTCTTGTTTAGATGATAACCAAGTTGCTCTAGTGATGGGTGTGGGGCCCTGTGTATACTCAAGATAGCTGCGTCTGGCCGCCGTGGTTGCCTCCACATATCTACTCCTGATCAATTTTTTCCTAGAGGTAGCATATGCAAGAATTCTTCCCCTTAAAACTGCCTTAGCAGTTTCCCAAAACAATGCAGGGTTATCTAGGTGCTCAGAATTATCCGACGCATACTAGATGTATTTTAAATGTAAGCTGTGTAAGTACCTGCAAATGTGCTGACAAGTAATGTGCTGAGATGAGGAGAGAGCCAAATGAATAGAGAGATGACTTTGTCAATCTCCTGCTACTAATGCCACTGTCTAATAAGATGGCCGAGAGGGGAGGATCCATTCACACATTAGCGTTTTTCTGCAGGTATCTATACACGTGGAAATGCACAAAAAACAATACATTATTATGGGTCTCGTTCACTCCTGCGCATTTTTTCATGCACACAAAAATGTGGAACACAGCAAAAAATACATGCGCAATTTTCTGGGTGATTTTAATGCATTCTGTCTCCAGGAAGACTGTGGATGTAGCCACAAATGCGCGTGTACGACCGTGCATTTTTCCGCATGAAAAAACATGCAGCATTCAAAACATTTGAATGGAGCCTCACTGTAACAGTTAAGGTTTTGTGATCCACCAAGCAGAAAACTGGATGGCCAGAAATACTTTGGCAGGTAAAACAAAGTATGAACACCACATATGATAATGAATTAAAAAAAAAAATCTGTTTGACATTATTCATAGAAAAAGAATACTTCCTACCATACTAGGTAATGTAAATAGCATTCCAAGTGTTTTTGTTTCCCAATGGATGTAAAACAGCATTAAAGAAAAACATAATTACTTCTCTCATCCGAGACTGCCATGATTCTGTATAATTTACAGAAATGTTCCCAGTTCCATTATACAGTAACATTTCGGATTGTTGGCACTTCCACTGAGGCAGAGATAATATTGCTAGAGCGGGTGTGATCAGGCTGAAGGTCCCACCTTGTAAGATAGGAAGTCTGTGAGAAACAAAAACAACATGGAAGTTACCACCATCATGACTAGTGGAATTACATTTTCACTAAAACATGTATCAATGGTGGGCATTTTTATTTGTTAATATTGCTGGCTGTACAGTAGATAAAAATTGTGTAATATTTCACTTATAATACATTTGCATGTTGGTCATTGTTGTTACTAAACAACCAATTGACTGGAGTAAACAAATGGGAATGAAACCAATAACATGTACAGAATGCTCATTTTGGGGTTTCATCATATATTCCTTGAGGTCACCTTGAGCTTTCCCAAATTCAGAATGTGTGGTGCCACCTGTATTTCTTTTTACACAGATGTCCAAATACAGACTATATTGTACCCCCTGGATTTACAAGTACAGAATGTGTTGTCCTCCCAGAATTTCCAAGTAAAGGATGTATTGTGCCCCGGTATTTCAAAAACTGAATGTAAATTTCCTCTGGATTTCAAAGTACAAAATGTGTGGTGCAAACACATTTACCATGTGTGCTGCCTCCTAGGTTTCCAAGTACAGAATGTGAAATATCCCCTTGATTCCTAAGTAACCTTGGATTTTCTACTTTTCCATGCCTGGAAGCATTGCCTCTTTTGCACACTACAAAAGTTTTACACACTACAAGTTATTTAAAATATATAAAAAGTAAAAAACACAGTGCCCAGCACTAATCAAATAAAGTATGGGCAGCACAGTAGCATAGTGGTTAGCACTTCTGCCTTGCAGCACTGGGGGTCCCTGGTTTGAATCCCAGCCAGGTCACTATCTGCAAAGGAATTTGCATGTTCTCCCTGTGCTTGCGTGGGTTTCTTCTGGGTACTCTGGTTTCCTCCCACACTCCAAAGACATGCTGGTAGGTTAATTGGCTCCTCCCTAAGTTGGCCCTCTATGTAAGTATGTCTTATATGGACCTTAGATTGTAAGCTGCTTGAGGGTAGGGACTGATGTGAATGTGCAACTATGTAAAGTGCTGTGTAAATTGTCCACACTATATAAATACCCGAAATAAATAATAAATAAGTCACAACACAGTGTCCTTTCAGAGAAAAGTGCATTCAGTGAAATAGTGCAAACAAAAGTCTCTGTAGATAAAGTGCTAATAGAGTGTATTCCAGAAGATCAATCTTCCCATCTGTATGTGCCGTTAGTGACATAAACCGCACTCACTAGATCAGGTGGACCAATTAGGAAAAACAGCGCTCAAGTATGGTTAGTTTGTCTTGATCTATTCATCCGTTGACTGAGAGGTTTCAGCATTAGGCTTCCACTATTCTCCTCCTCCTTGCACTCCCCCGATGTTCATAAAGACATCCATCTTTAAAATTATTTAAAACACTCACATAAGTGTACAGATGCAATCGCTTCTCAATAAGTAAACTTCCCCAGAGCTGCTGCCGGCTGGCCGCATATAAGCCAACAAGCACGTCCGTTCGAAAAATCCCATAGTACGATTCCTCCCTGGTGTGCAGTGACCTCAGTGTGTATCCGCCCACCGACGCATTTCGCCGTGTGGCTTACGCAGGGTAGGGCTACATGCTGATGTCAATCCGATCTTTAAATACCTGTCATTCTATAACACAAATAATAAAAACCTTTTTTCTCTTAATAGTCATTTATCGAAACCCATTCTTATATAATTTCCCACACTTTAACTGCAGTCATAGGGGTATGATAAAACCTGTATACCAACCACCTAATATTTTTATGTGAATTCATTAGGATAAAAAATGTATAATTAGATAAATACACACCAAACATGAGTGTCATATCTATATACATCAACCTACTTTAATATTATGTACCCCTAAAAACTGTGTATATAATGTAACATCATACATCAAATAATTTCTAAAAATTGTTTTAACGTGCCCCCGAAAAACACTAATTATTTTGTATTTAATGTGCCAACAAATATCAATAAATATTAATCTTCTGAAAGTTATTATGATGTGCCCCAAAGATGAAAAAATCCATATATTACTCATAAATCATTCTATTTAAAACCCAACTATAAATGATTAAATAAATATATCATAAACATGATGATTAGAAACAAATCATCTAAGAAGTGACCCTAACCTAATATTTAAAAAAAAAAAAAAATATGGTGATAGATAATTTTTAAATGACCCTATCAATGATGTGATAATAATTCATTATTAGCTATAAAACACTTGAGATCTAGCTCAACATTTAATCGCCTGGGTTGCACAGTGTCTAAGATAAAAAAACATTTAGTTTCATTTTGGGAGATGGTCCTCCTCATATTAGAGCCCTCCAAAGTTGTTGTATTTTATCTATTTCATAAAATACAATATACAATACAATATGATAGTATTTAAAATGTTTAGAGACACTGTGCTGTTCAAATCCCCTTTTTATATTTCTGACATGTTCACCTATTTGTACATAAAGTTGTCTAGTAGTTCTACCTACGTACTGTATGCCACATGGGCATTCCAGCACATAGGTAACAAATGATGAATGGCATGAAATACATTTTTTTATTTTAAATTGCTTCTCAGTGGTTTTTCAGTGAAAACTATTTTTACTTCTGCCATCTAATTTTCTAGCTCTTCTACACCCCACAAATCTCCTCCAAAGAAAAAATCCAGTGCTTGAGAAAAAGGAAAAAACTCTCTTTGGAGGGTTTATAACGTTAGGAGCCAGTGCCTTGAGTGAGGCACTTTTTTCTATATATAATAGATGGTTTGTTAGGAATGAGAGGGCCCAGGATTTTATCTTTTAATAAAATTCCCCAGTGTTTAATTAGGATTTTTTCAAAATCTCTATATTGTGCAGAGAAATTAGTAATAAAAGACAAAGGTCTCACTTTTGTTCTCTTATTCTCTCTACGTTTCAATAAATTCGCTCTATCTAATCCTCTCATTTCCTCCAAATGTTTCTTTTCTATCCCTTTTACAAAAATCTCTTTTCCAACATAGATGCTTGGTCCAGAAAATCTCATTCTGTGGTACAATTCCTTCTAAATCTAATAAATTGTCCCTTGGGTATATTAGAAATCCAGTGTGGATGGTGTCGCCTTTCTCTTGGAACATATCCATTCCAGTCAGTTGGCTTAAAAAATGTTCTAGTGCAATTTTTTCTATTATATTGGTGACTACAATTTTATTGCCCAAATTACTACATACTCAAATATTTTTCTAAGTTTTAGTATACTAAAATAAGGATACTTTTCTGGTATTTTAGTATACTGTTATGTATGATAAACCTATCAATCATGCCATGTCTTTTGTGAATCCTGTGCTTGCTGCTCAACTTCAAAGATTTGAATGCAAAATTTGTATTCAATTTTAGATCGCTAATATTGTGGGTAAAAATATTTGGATTACAACAGCAAGCAAAGCTTGCTTACTGACCTGCTAGAACTTTGATGAGTAGCAGGGCACAAAGGAATAACTGATCCTTCCGTAACACCTTCACCCCTTTATGTGCTGCAAGCATCTGAGCACAAACCGCTTCATGACCACTTTTTCTGTTGTCATCATCAGTGAGCAAACTTACTTCCATGAATTAACGTCCACCATGGAACAGTGAGATACAATGTGCCTTGTATAAGAAAGTGTCTAAAATATAAACTGCTTCTTTTCCCCCAAACTTGATATAAACTTTCATTCTTTAAATGTTATTCTGCCAAAAAAGCAGGAATATGATTTGGGATCTATAAAGGAGAGCAATTCTTATTTTGGACATTTTGGATAAATGAGGTCCAATGTCTCTAAATAAGGAAGGAGGGTATGGTGATCTGATGGTGAAAAGAATTAACTTGCTCTAGTTACAGTTTAAAACAGCTTACACATCCCATCTGCGGTTAAACTAGAAGATCGTGTAATTGTTTTTCAAGTGTCTGCTTATATTATGATAATCAAGACCTGATTAGGTTTTTAAGCTCTGTAAAATAATCTAAAAGCTCCAATATTTTGCATATTTGATTCTCACATAAAGATGAATAATGGCATCTAGGAGATAGAACAAGGTAAAGTGCACGTCTTAAATCATGTTTTAGCAGTATGCAGCTTTGCAGTCAAAGTGGATTCTTGTTGGTTAACCATCTGCTCTTTCCAGTACCCTATAACAGCTGGGCATAACCTATCACAAGGAAACTTCACAAGCATTTGTAAGAAACGGTGCAAGATATTTTTGGGGGGATATGTTACATAGTCTATCTATTAAAGGATATCTATGGTCAAAAACTCACAATAAATGTCATTCTCTATTGATTTTCCATGAGTTTTATGCCATTACTTATTTAGGATACCCATAGGATCAACTTTCTCAATGCACTGACACAATTCCACTCTGCCATGTGAATATGCACTTCATTGTATTCGAACTCGAACTAAGCCTGCCATCTGAACTACCACTCAGTGCTGCACTTCCTACAATGTAACATTATCATTGCTTGCTGGAAGCAGTGGCGTAACAACCGGGGGGCAGGGGGGGCACTTGCCCCGGGCGCAGGACTGAGGGGGGGCGCCGTCACGACCCCCGCTAAACGAAGCCCCTGGCTCTGCCACATTCACACGGCTGTTATCGGGCGGCCGCTCGCTCCTCCAAGGCCACTGCGAGCGGCCCTCTACAGTGAGAAGCAAAGCCTGGTAGGATATGTAGTCTTGGCAAATCGAGATTTTATCTGATCAAGAAACAGAGAAAGAGACGCAGGGCACACTGGGAATTCAGTATGTTGTTGTAGGTGATGGGCAGCACTCATTAAGTAAAATGAATTTTTATCAAGTAAGCTTTGATTTCATTATCAAAAATAACTAAAGTGTGTATTCCTATTACAATGCTGGTGTTATAAAAGGATAGTATAGTATATGCTGGGATTTACAACTCCTTTAAATGTTTTACTAAACATTATATAGTATATCAGTTTTACAAATTGCAAAGTGTTATGTACAGCACAACTTAAAATTATCCAAGCATTACCCTGTCCACACACATTAAAAATCTTTTTTTTCAGTCAAATGATGTTTTAGTTTGACTGTAAGCTACTTCACCATGCACAGCGCTGAAACAATTTTACAATCCAGTGATGATGGTGTATACACTTAAAATAATATTCCTGAACAATTCATTCTGAATTTAGTAGATTAGGCAGTCCTATTACAATACGAGGTATGATACAAAAATACGGTGAATGTTTAAATTAAAAAAAATGAATGACAGTAAAAAACAAATTGCCAATAATCCCCTTCAAAATACTCCCACTCGCTTCGAACACACTTATCCCATCGTTCTTGCCACTTTCCGAAGCAGTTCTGGAAGTGCTCTTTCACGAATGTCTTTCATTGCACTGTCGTGACTGCTTCAATGTCCTTAATCGATTCAAACCGTTTACCTTTCATGGTCATTTTGACATTTGGGGAAGAGCCAGAAGTCGCATGATGACAGATCCGTTGAATAAGGTGGATGAGGATACACCGTAGTATGACAGATATTGCCATACAAGAAGCGATGTGTGATGGAGGTTGAAACCGTTTGCCCATTTCTGAGGCCGTTTTCTATGCACATTGTTCTAATAAGCCCTTATAATATTTAGAGTTCACTGTAGTGTTCCTGGGTACAAACTCAGCAAAACAATCTCTTGGGTTTTTGATGTTGAAAGACATCGCAATCTCTCCTCGTCTTCAACCAATTCACAACCTTTACGAAATCACTCCAACCCCTTGGTCATCTTCATGGTCACTGCAGCATCACCATAAACTAATTTTAACATTTTGTGTGCTTCTTTAGCACTTTTTGGGCCTTTTAAACAAAATGTCATGTTAATACGTTGTTTGTTATCCATGGTTTATGGCACACCTAAAAACACACCTTCTTTCAACCATAGCTTACAACCAACTGACTGCACAAAACAAGCTGAAACTTGTCACACACTGTTACTAAGGTTCGACGCACCGCTTTTCATATTGGAGATCCCTGCCTTTCCATTGGATGGCACCCGGCAGCAGCATTCACCGTATTTTTTGACCACACATATATGATCAGTCTTTTACCTGAAACAGATCATGTGCCAATATAAACATTTATAAGTTAAAGTGACTCAGCTGTTGACCCTCAAATCATCTCTGCCATCTCCCATGATAGACTACAATCTCAAAAAAAATTAGTAAACTAAACATGAAATTGTAGTCCATCACTGGAGCAAGCTTGAAACGGTGGCTACTTTACAACACACACAGGGACCATGGGGAACAAAACTTAGTGTCACTTTAAGGTTCAGCTGGACTTATCAAAAACCAAAAGTGCCATTTAATGCAGCTAGGCTCCTTTTGTTCTAAGAATGCGACTCATATGTCACATTTTTTACTGTTTACTGTATTCAACATTTATTTATAGATGTTGATGCTGCCTAGATGTTTGGCTGCAGAGTGGAAATGCATGCACTGGTCTGGGGAGGAACTAAATAAAAATAGTATTGTCAGTGAGAGGTGAACAAAGTCAGGCATCCAAATGTACTGCAGTTTCATTGCAGATCTACTATATATGGCTTACATACATCATAGGTATTCTGGTTGTCATGTTTACTTACCTTGTTCCTATTGTTGTTTGGAGAAGTGTGCATATGCCAGACACAAAGAATATGGTACATATCAACTGGCTTTTTACTGCATTGTCATGTTTAACACACAAAGGCTCTGCCAGAATTAATGGAATTGCTATTATTCCTCCAAACGCCAAAATATAATGCTGTAAAAAAGAGAGTTTATGTTATTTTTACTCTATAGACTCCTGAAACATTTAAATGGTTGAATAACATACATATATATAACACAGAGATTAGGAAATTACCTTTTTTCTTCCCTGTTCATTGGGCCATCTTTAAAATCATAGGATGTTACACTATGAATAAAATTAAAGGGTCTATCAATAAAAAAAATTGCATAGTTTATTTGCCAAGCAAAACAGCAGGTACATTAACTAGCTGTTGTTAGAACAGGGCAAAAGCAAATGATCTTTTTCTCTTCTGGTCGAATGTTCTTTAATAGGCTATCTCACAAAGAACAGGGTTATTTGGCAAAATACCACTTTATGGCCAATAGACCAAGGATCCAAAAAAAATAACTATATGTTATTAACATGGCACAATGTTACAATTCAAGAGAATGCTGGAGAGAATGAGGCTAATAATGTAACCATTGCTATTCCCATAGTATCAATGGTTACCTTCTAGTCATGTTAGGTTTTTTTCATTCTGCATTGAAACTCAGATGAATTTCTTTACATTTGAAAATTCGGATGGATCCGAATTTCCGAATTCAAACGTATACGAAATTGCGAATAAATAATCTCTGCAGCTGAGATCACAGTAATTTAGGGGTCTATTCACAAAGCTGCCGTAGGCAGTGGAGTGAATAACCGACCCGAAGTGAAGTGAGCCGAACGCTGTTCGGCTATTCACTTCAGGCTTGTACGGCTGATTTCAGCCGTACACCGACTAAAATCAGCTGTACATCGGCTTGCTGTGGCTGGCTTCGGGTCGGCCAAACATGCTCAGCATGTTCGGCCGACCCGAAGTACAGAAGGAGTTCGACTCAGCAGATCCAACATCTGGATCAGCTGAGCTGAATCTCTGGCAGGCTACTCGCTGCTGTTCAGCATTCGGCTCGGCTATTCTGCTCGGTACTTCTGTGGTACCTAGCAGAATATAAAAACAGTTTAAAAAGTAGAAAAAATTAAATAGAAAATGATTGGGCAGAGCTAGCAGTGACAACTAGCACTGCCCAACTGTTTTCAATTGGCCGGGCGGTTCTGCTGCCGTCAGAATAAAAAAAAAATCACCATAGGAATGCATAGCTAGATACCTATTGGCTATTTCACTTTGCAATAGCCAATAGCAAACTAGCTATTGCACCCGCCCTCTGCTGTTGTCAATCACTAGAAGGGGACCTGATGGAGAACTATAGGTCCCCTCTGCTGATTGAAAGCAGCAGTGGGTGGATGCAATAGCTAGTTTGCTATTGGCTATTGCAAATTGAAATAGCCAATAGGAATGTAGCTATGCATTCCTATGCTGTTTTTTTTTTAATTCTGACGGCAGCCAACGGCTCCGATGTCAGAAGAAAGAAAAAAAGACAACAGAGCAGGGGAAAGTTTACTCTGCACAATAGACTACACTTTCCTGGGCAACCAGGAACCTCTATCTAATAGCGGAAGACTCCCGGACGCTCCGGGAGAGTTGGGCTGTCTGGAGATCAGCGTCCCTGGTTACCTGGTAACCAGGGACGCTGATCCGTCTGTGCAAGTGGCCGGAGCCAGCTGTGAGATGACGGCTGGCTCCACCCAGCAGTCAGTAGCAGTCGCCCAGCTTCGGCTTTCACCTCGGCTCAGTCAAGCCAAAGCAAATGCCTTCAGCTCGACTGAGCCCCTCGGCCAACTTCGGGAGCTGTACGGGCTATAATGAATAGCTCGTACAGCAGCCCTTTGGTTCTACTGAACCGAAGGGGTCCTGAGGTCAAAGGATCAGCCGAAGCTACGACTAGATCCTTCGGCAGCTTTGTGAATAGACCCCTTAGTAATTATGAAGCTCGATTATTTCAGTGCTTTCTAAAGCTGGGTCTACACGGTTCTATTTATTCACTTAACCCACGGGCTGAAGGAAAAAAATAACAGATTCCTCCATCAACACTTAAGAGTGTTGATGGAGGAATCTCCTGTTGTTTTTACTGTATTCTGCCAGTGGCCACTGGCCGCTCTCAGAATATTAAAACAAAGCAATCGGCTGATAGACCGGAAACTCCGTTCAGCCAAGAATTTTCCTTTGATCAGCTGATTGAGGGATGCCAGGCGCAAGGGTGCTGACAGTGGCACCCACACAGCGAGTTTTGAGCGGTTTATCAAGAACCGGCCAAAATTCACTGCAAGTATAACCCACTTTAATTTTATGTTAGCTACATTGTGTCCATCTCAACTTTAAGGGCAGCTCCCTTGCAGATTGTAAGTCAAGAAGAGGAACTGGAGACTGGAGGATTTGTTATATTGGGCATTTTTAAATCATTTGTTGTATAGCTAGAAATAAGGGTGCTTGTCTGAAATGTTTTAGTACTATTTATTTTTTAAATAAATTCAGTAGAAGGGCTTTGGTTTTATGAGGTAGTGTTCCATATATGCTTGCTACTTTTCTGGATTTCAGCCAAGGGAGTTGATTTAATAAAGGAAAATTGGTTATTCCTTTTTAAAGGCATTTTCCCTTAGCTTAGTGAATGACGTGAAGCTTTGCTGACTTCTATTATCATATAATGCAATTTTGTTTTTCCTTGCACATGATTGGGTATTCTTTGCAAAGTAAAATTTCACCCCATTCATTAAGCTAAGGGAAAATTCCCTTAAAAAGTGAAAATTTCCTTGGAAAGTGAACAGCCTATTTACTATTAATAAAACACCCCAAAGAGTTCAACTTTAATCTCATCTGCCTCAGAACAATTTTTGTTTAGTGTTTTTATCTAGTGAGCACAATGTAGAGAATATAATTTTCTCTTTTAAAACTTGCTGCGCTTTTTCTGTAATCTTTGCAGAACCCTCACTCCAGGTGGGAGTAACAGCAATACTGTATTTCCTGTTTGTAGACAATGTACTTTAGTGTATATTGATATAAAATCTAGCCCCACACAAATCATTTGTTTGCTTTGTGTGCATCACAGAGACAGATCCCTCTTCAGAGGAGTAGATTTTGTCAGTAGCCACACTTTACATGCCATTTTAATAAGTCAGAGCACCTTGGAACTAAATCTCATTGATTGGATCATGAATTTGATTAACCTCTTTTCACATTGGCATTATCCTAGAGATCCACATACGTTTCCCATCAAAGTCCCTCTATTGTTCAAACTATTGAGCTATAGAAATTAAAATATGTGATTTGTGTGTTAAATTTATTGTTATGACTTAGATGCAGATCAGAACATATTTAGGGCCAGTCGTGCAGAATCCTAGGTAATTCTAAAGGTTCACAAACTTTTCCCTAAAACTATATGTCACATCAGAGCAACAGGATTCCAGAAAGAAAGACATAACACAGATGGCCTTGGGGCAGCCACTGTATAAACCTGCAGCTCAATCTGTTGTATAAATGTTACAATGCTGTAAAATACCTAAAGGTTTAATATGTAGAATGGGTCTATGCTGTCATATTGTTAGAATACACACCACATTTGTCTTATCCATATGGGAAATAGCGTATATAAAGTCACTTAAGCCTGTAACTTCATCTTCTGGGTATAATATTCTATTGTAGTATTTTCAGTGCTTGGCACCTGGAGACAGTGAGTACAAAGGAGGCATACATACTGTACCAAGACATTACATTTATTCTTTAAAAGGTGTTTTACCTTTAACAAGCAAGTGAAAAGATTAAGATTTCATACATAACTTGTGCCATCTAATGTTCAAACCCCTGATCACACATAAAGAAGTAATTCAAATTATCGACATACATGTTTGCTTAGTACATTAACAATGTAGATTACTATACAGCTGAAGGTCAGTCTTTATTCCAGTCCAAACTGATGAAGAAGTTATGGATTCTTTTTTAACAAATTGGATAGGCTCTTGGATTATAATAGAAATGTACTTAATGATTGTTAACTTATTAATGCAAGTTCATCCTTTTGGTGTGGAGGATATGGCTCGAATAATAGGAGGACATACCAAAAATCTGCATGTAAAATAAAGCCTAGTATGAATTTTGCATTTACAATGACATTTATAGATCAGCTTTCTAACTCTAGAGTGCAGTTTGGAAAGTTTGCTGTACATCCCTTTGAGACTAACATTAGCATGATGCATTTTTTAATCACATGTAATTAACATATATTGGCTCAGAATGACATGCATTGATTTTCAGTAATTGGTTTACAAAAGTTCAGTGTTTGACCTAATGGCTCATAGGACATTCACAGATCATGTGGGAATTAATTTTCCAGAAGTGTACAGTCTTAATATGACAGAGATGCTGTTTACAGGAATATTTTATAGGCTAAGAATATGGCCCGTAAGGAAATATCTGACCACAGTGCTCATTGGGAGGAAATGAGGATCATTGCAGTTTTGGAATTTATAGGTTAAGGTGCATTACTAGAAGACCCCTTAATGTGAGTAAGCCTCTAGAAAATGAACATTATGTAGTGCAGTATGGGTGGAATTTGCGTGCAGTTTTACTTGTCACTGTCTATGCAGGCAGAATCATCACCAACTGAGTGATATATTAAACTCTGCTTGGTTTTATTATGTAACACAAATGTTACTATTAGCATGCATCATAATTAAATGACCTGCAAAAACTGTTCCTGTATTTGCTATGTACAATTGATGTCATAGGTAAAATAGGTAAAATAATTATTTGTGAGAAGAGACATTGTTCTGTCCTGTTTTAATGTATTACCAACTGCTGATTGCATTAGTAATACTTTATGGCTTTTGTGCATGACATGAGTCTGTTGTAAAGTTATTTATAGGAAATGTGTAGTGGTTTTGTAAAATATTTGTTTATTCATTTGTTTATTTTTTACAGTCATGACTAAAACTATATTTTAATTTTTTTTCAGGCGGGTAAATATGAAATGTTTTATTGATATTTTTATTTTTAAAAAGCAGCTGGAGCGCTTGGCCTTTATTCACGTAGTCTCTTCTACCTCTTTACAGTCTGTTGTAAAAAAAAACCTGGTGTTTACAGACCTCAATAGTACATGTTATTGACCCATTTCAGTGAACCATCTCTTATACGACAGCTAAGTCAAAAGTTTTAGCCAGACAAAGGGGGTAACAAGGCAGGCCGCTTCTGCTGTGCTTTCTCTTTAGCTGACCCATATTGTTTGAAGAATCCTTTGTTATGCAATAGATGTTTATTTATAAATGCAGAAATGGTATATAAGAACAGATAAAGAAAATGTGTTTAAAAATGTATGAATGCAAAAAAAAAGTATTACACTATGGTACAGTAGTTACCATTAAAGTGAATGCAACTTTTTTTTAAACCTTGACAGCATAAAATGTCTACTTTCACCATTGTTTTCCATGAAAGACTCCTCTGTGTACCTCTCTGTAACTAGTTTTACGTTCATACTAAGGTATTGATTTCAGAGCTAGGCTTCAGCAATAACCTATGCCTCTGTCCATTGATTTTCCAATGAGGGCACTGTCATTAGAAGGAGAAATGACAGCTGGCAGGGCCTGGTCCTGAAGTCAGGGAGTCCAAGTAACAAAGTGGAGTTAATTTGACAGAGGCACACACAGCAATATTTTCTGGTAAATTGGGGTAATAGCAGGCATCCTCTGGTGTCACTTCGTACAGCATTTTAGTTCTAAATGTATAAATGACAAACAGATTCACTTTAAGAATGTGTTCAGGTTTGTCTTGTTACATAAGAAAATGTGGTTCAGTGTGAGGTAATAAATAAAGTTTTACTGCCCTCTGCCTGTAAATAACAACATTGTAACCTATGGAATTTGTTACTCTGGTGTAAAATATATATTTTACTTTATTAGCTTTAGTAGTATAACCAATATGGCTTGTTACTATTGTCTGCAGCAGCACCTCTATGTCAACAGCAGCACCTCAAAGTTTGTAGTTTAGACATAAAAACATAAAACCTATGACTTTGTTTCTTCCATAAAAGAACTCCTGGGATTTCAGACAGTAACAATCTAACAACAGATAATACATTATAATAAATACACTACTCAAATATAATTTAATTAAACTGGCCATGGCCTTTATTCATAATCTATTTTAAAGAATATTTATTTTCATTTAATTAATAAACAATGAATCAAAACCAGAAATTAAACCCAGCCATTACAGCTCAAATTTAAATAATAAAAATCCATAACATTAACTCATTCATCAAAGAGAAGCAAGAAAGAGAGCAAAGAAAACCTAGACACTATGGGGTTGATTTACTAACCTTATAAACACACCACAAACATGTATACACCTCTGTAGTGTGTTCCCTCCCAGCATGATCTATGGGTGGAATCTAAACACCTTTGTAGTGTGTACACACCCAGCAGGTGTGTTGTGCAAAGCCTTGCATGAATTGCAAGGTGATGTTGTGTAAATTAGCTCTATGTTGTGTTGCTTGCATTGATGAATGCAGGAATGTAAATGCATGAGCTAACCATTTTTGTCTAAACTGTGAAGCAGCATTATATATGCATCATGTGCATGCTTTTTCCATATATGGCATTAGTGGAAATATGCTTTTAGAGACTTTTTGGTTGATAAATACGTTTTGCTGTGTGAAAATCACACGCACCTGGTGCGTGCGTGTGTTTAGGTTAGTAAATCACCCCCTATGGCTCATGTTAAAATGAATAATATTATAGCAAAACAAGCACATTAAAACAAATTATCAGCACAGTAGTACAGGGAAGGCCGTGAAATGGGGGGGTGAAAACTTATTGCTGTCTTTCTTCAACTGAATCTAATGGTGCCTTTGTCATCTTTTATAGGGCAAGGAAGCACGAGGAATGACAGTTTGAGAAGACCAACAGATCCACAAGGACCTATGTGCAGCTTTCCATGAATAGCTTTACAAAGAGGGCAGGGATGTTAAAGCATTAAAAAAAATGATTTCTTAGTGCTTTCTCAATCTCATGTTAGGATCTCTACAATTGTTACACTTCTAATTCAAATGAAACATTTTATTAACCCTTGCAGTGAAGCTACAACCGCACTGCAAGGGTTAACTGCTCATTTGTTTCTAGGTGCTGAAAAAAGTTATACTCACCCTATCATTCCTTGTTCTTAGACCGGTCCCTTGAGCCTCTCTCCCCCTCCTCTGCAGGATCTAAGAATCCTTGTGTCATCACGCTCTATACAAGTGTATAGTTGTGAGGACGCTGAGAGTCATTCCATCTGTGCAGAAGAGGGGGAGACAGGCTTCAGTGATCAGAGAAGATGAATTAGCCAAACCACACAGATTGTCCAATGAGTTGGGAAATCTGTTTGTGTGGTAACATATGTTTAAGACATAAGACGTAAGCTTTATAGCCCTTTAGTGTTGCCATAAACATCCTTTTCTTAGTCCAAGGATTGCAATACTTATGGCTGTCCTTTAGGTTCTTCTCCAGGTTCTCTGCCTGTAAACATCAGATCTGCAGTACTGTACAAGAAACCTCTGATCCCTGGGTAAAAGAGATTCCTGGAGGGGTGGAATCACCAGAAAAAGTCAATGGCAGTTCTGGAACATCTTTAGCTTTATTTCCTCTTGCCAACGCTCGCAGCCATTCAAAGAAGTTCACACTTATTTTAAATGTAAATGTACCAACCTGAAGTGCCAGCAGAATACACAAATACCAAGGTGGTCTATCATTGATGCCATAAATTAATTCTGTAGATGGGGTGTTGTAGGATTCTGCATTCATGTCTGTTATATTCGGAGTATTTCCTTCAGGGTCATGATCATATATCCTCTGTCTCTATGAAGAAAGAATGCAAGTGGTTTCAATTTTAATTATACAACTATGGCAATATTTATGTTTGATTACTTAGTAAGATTTAGTGATGAGTGATCCAGGCAAAGTTCTATTCACTGAATGCTTGACGAACCTGGCAGGAAGTTCACAAACACCACACATAGCACCGAACCCCATTCAAGACTATAGGAGGCCTTTTTCAAGGCTAATGCATTTTGTTAAAAAAAGTGCATGGGCAGCTGGGAGCAGTCATCGGAGACATACAAATACAATTTTGTTTTCTAAAATGACCATTTAGTGAGAAGGGGGCATTTTAATGCGGCTTAACAGGTGACATTAAAAATGCACAATTCCTTTAGATAACATGCTTTGAAGATGTTTTAAATCTGCAGATGATGTTTTGAAGCAGTACAATGCACTCACTCCTTTAACACCTTCATGATGGAAAGTAAAACAGATCTTGAAGTAACATAAAGGATGTCCCTCCCCCCAATGTTAGTGTAAGCACTTACCATAAATGATGTCTTTTAAGCCGATCTTCTTCTTCTTCTTTGCTGTCCTTTTCAGCCTTCTCTCCAGCGCTGCTGCGGGTCTCCGATCCAGCGCGGACTCCTCTGAGCTTGCTGGTACTTCCTGTCCCACGGTGTCTGTATGCGGGTGCACGCCGTCCATAGACTTACCTTGTGTCTCTCCACGTCTACCGGCCGAAAATCTCAACTGCGCATGTGCCCGCCCCAAGATCCTTTGCGGCCGCCCAAGATTTTTCAGATTTTCGGACGGGAGTGTGCGGGGAAGACACGGGTAAGTATTAACCCTTTTTTAAGCAGTTTTTTTTTTAGTTTTTGCATATATCTTCTGCTTGCTAGCAGTAGATATATGCAAAAAAAAGGAGGGTTTAATAACACTTTAATGCCTAAACCCACTTTTGCTATTTTAAAATGTGTTAGTTTAACTGTACATGTCTTTGCAACTACTTCCTTTAGACAGGTGAATTATACCTCTCTAAACTTGCACAAACCAGTAAAAATATATCATTTTGTAAACTTTAGCTGTATATTTCTGGCCATTGGAACGTATATTTCTTGCCATCTGGGTGCTGGGGAGTGCCCAATCAAGCATATACAGTGCCCAGGAAGAAAGCCCACTTTTATGCCGCATATAAACAGTAGGGTTGGGCTCGATGTTTGAGCCGAACATGAGTTCGATTCGAACAATGCGAGTTCGTGTGTTCGCCGAACACACAAACTGTCAGGGCGTTCGGCAGGCTATTCGCCCGCCGAGCTCCCCATAAGACGATGCGCCTTCTGAAGCCATAAGCCACAAGACTTTGCCCAATCAGGGCACAGAGAACTGTGAGAGCCATGATTGGGCAAAGTCATGATGCCTCTGCCCAATCATAGCTCACCTTTTACAACTGTAAACAGTTGGGCGAAGCTATCTGGCACTGCCAGCTCTGCCCCATTGTTTGCAAGTTGCCGACATCGGTCAAAATGCCATTCTGTGGTGGGTGTTCGTCGCAGCGGATGGAAGTGAGGTCGTCGTTTTTTTCTTAATTATTATGATTTTTTTATTTTTTTATTTCGTTGAGTTGTCGTCATCGTGGACAACGCTGGACATCATGATTGACCCTGGATTACATCGATGGATCAAATTTTTTTTTTTAATAAAGGACAAAAATATTTGTTGTGGTTTTTTTTCAAATAAAGGATTTTTGATTCAAGTCTGGTGTTTCTTTTTTTATCTATTTTTTACCCTTTAGTGAATGAGTAGAGGGACAAGTACCCCTTACTCATTCACAAGGGGGGGGGGTGCATCTGGATGCCCCTTGTGCCCCATCGGCACGGGGACAAGGTGCTTTTCTAGGGGCGACCCTCCCAGTGATGAGGACATGTGGCCTGGTATCACATGGAGGGGGGCTCGCTCGCCCCCCCCCCTTTCCCGCCCTGCCAGGCCTGTGCTAGGATTAAGGG